GATGAGGTTCTTAATGCACTTGATATTCACTAAGCAGAAGGACATAAATTATGGTAAGATTAGGGAGGGGTATGTTGATATTCTGGAGCATGTTAATACTAAGAAGGAAGAGGTGATGGGTGTCTTGTGTAGATAAGTCCCAAGACCCTGATGGGTTCTATCCCAGGATACTGAAGGAGGAAAGGGAGGAGATTGCTGGGACGTTGACAGAGATCTTCGTAGCCTCTTTAACCACAGGCAAGGTTTCAGAAGACTGGGAATAGATATTGTTGTTCCTCTGTTTAAGAAGGGCAACAGACCTTTAAGGAAGGAAACTGCCATCCTTACCTCGTGTGGTCTATATGTGACTCCAAACCCACAGGAATGTGGTTGACTCTTAACTGCCTGCTGAGCAATAAATACTGGCCTTGCCAACAATGCCCTCATCCTGTGAATGAATAAATGTAACAAAACAATAATAATCAAGGACATTTTAGGCCATTGAGCCATATATTAGCATAGAGAAATTAGTGGAGAAGATTCTTAGGGAGAGAATTTACTCACACTTGGAAAAGAATGGACTTATTAGGAATAGTCAACAAGGCTTTATGCAGGGAGGACTTGTCTCACAATCGAAGTTGAGTTTTTTGAGTGAGTGATGAAGATGATTGATGAGGGTTAGGCAGTGGATTTTTTCTACATGGTCTTTACTAAAACATTTGACAAGATGCCATGGTGGCATAGCTGTTAGCATTGCTGTCTGACAGTGCCAGGGATCTGGGTTCACTTCCACCCTCTGGTGACTGTCTGTGTGGAGTTTGCACATTCTCCTCATGTCTGTGTAGATTTCCTCCTACTTTCCAAAGATGTGCAGGTTAGGTGGATTAGCCATGCTAGATTAGCCATGCTAAATTGTCCTGTAGTGCCCACGGATGTGTAGGTTAGGTGGATTAGTCATGTGAAATGCAGGGTTACAGGGTAGGTGGGTGGGACTGGATGGGATGCTCTTTGGAAGGTCAGTGTGGACTCGATGTGCCAAATGACCTGCTTCCACACTGTAGGGATTCTATTCTATGAAAAAGATCCCTCATGTTAGGCTGGTCCAGAAGATTAAATTGCATAGGATCCATGGTAAGTTGGCAAATTGAATGTAAAAATGGCTTTGACACAGAAGTAATGTTTTATTTTCCTGATTGGAGATCTGTAACCAGTGGTGTTCTGCAAAGAACAGTGCTGAGACCTTTGCTATTTGTAATTTATATACATGATTTTGATGAAAATGTAGGTGATCTGATTAGCAAGCTTGCAGATGGCACAAAATTGGTGGAGTTGTGGATAGTGAGGAAGGTTACCAAAGGATGCAGCAAAATATAGATTAGTTGGAAAGTTGGGCAGAGAAGTAGCAGATGAAATTTAATATGGACAAGTGTGAGGTGATGCATTTTGGGTGGTCAAATGCAAGAGAAAAGTATACTTAAATGGTACGACCCTTTGGAGCATTGATTTATGCAGAGATCTTGGCATGCAAATCTATAGTTTCCTCAAAGTGGCAGCACATGTAGATAAGGTGGTAAAAAAGGTGCATGGTATGCTTGCTCTCATTGGTCAGGACACTGAGTATAAAAGTTAGCAACTCACGTTGCAGCTCTCAAAGAGTTCAGTGAGGCCATATTTGGAGTATTGTGTGCAGTTCTAATCACCACACCTTTGAATGTGTTGTCTTGGGAGACGGTAAAAAGAGGGTTACCAGGATGTTACCTAAATTAAAGTATATTAGCTGGAAGGAGAAGTTTAGATTGTTTTCACTAGAGCATTGGAGGCTAATGGGTGACCTGATAGAAATATATAAGATGATAAGAGGAATGGATAGGGTGGATAGTTGGAGTCGTGTTCTCAGGGTGGAAATGTCAAATACTAGGGGCCACAGATTTAAGGTGAGAGATGATGGGTAAGAGGCAGAAGAAATTAGTTTTAAATGGCACAGCTTCGTGGTTGGCCAAAGGGGCTGCTCCTGTGCTGTACTGTTCTATGTTCTAATTTCTATTCAACCCCACACCCTGTTCTACTATTTCTGTGAAATCGAATCTGATCTGTTGTCTAACACCATTTACAGCTTTAGCTCCTTGATCCCTTATTCTAATACAACGTAAATCCATTGATTCCACTTTCGAAAGCTATCATTGGAGCAAATTTGCACAACATTTTCAGCAAAGGAGTATTTCCTCATTTCATTCCTAAATAGTCTCATGCTAACTTTAAGACGATGTTTTCTTGTTCTGAACGAGTCTCCCACCTAGAGGAATTTAGATGGACACACGAACACGCAGGGATTAGAGAGATACAGACCACGTGCAGGCCAATGAAATTAGTTTACAATGGCATCATGGTCGGAAGAGGGAAAAACAGCAGTAAAAAAAGAACTCATATATGGAAATGAACATAGGGGCTGCATTGGAGTTTGATTTTGAAGTTTACAAGGCAGGTTTCGGGGCAGCATGGTGGCTCACAGCACCAGGGACCCATGTTCAATTCCACCCTTGGGCAACTGTCTGTGTGGAGTTTGCACATTCTTCTGGGTTTCCTCCCACAGTCCAAAGATGTGCAGGTTAGGCAGATTGGCCATGCTAAATTGTCCATAGTGTTCAGGGATGTGCAGATTAGGTAGGTTGTAAGGGGATGGGTCTGGGTGGGATGCTCCAAGGGTCAGTGTGGACTTGTTGGGCCAAAGGGCCTGTTTCCACACTGTAGGGATTCTGTGATAGGTTGGACCAGTCATTCACCAGTTTTACTAGTTTTTTCTGTCTGGGTTACCTTGCTCACCTGAAAGGGAATAATTCCTTTATATTGACAAGAATAGATTGTTTAAACTTCTCAAACAGATTAGTGATCACTTTCAAATTCAAAGGAATACAAACAAAGTTTATGAAATTTGCTCTCCAAATGAAACATGCTAAACCCCATTATTGTGAAGAGGAATATATGCTGCACCTCATTTAGGCCCAATATATACTTCACAAACTGAGGTATCTGGAACTGGACACAATGCTCTAAGTGTAATCTGACCAGGCTCCATGAAACTGGAGTATCAGTTTTCTCAGCTTGGGAATCTATCCACTTTGAGATAAAAGATAACATTTCAGTGCTAGCTTAGATTGCTTTTTGCATATTAGCTTGAAGATCCTGTGTCACTTTGTTCCCCACAGTCTGCAGCCAAACAGAAATACTCCACCTGTTGAAATCTAAAACAAAGAGTTCTGATGAAAAATCACTGGCTTAAAATAATTTGTTTATTTTATTAATAATACTTTATCGCAATTATACAATATCTTGTTCTCTCATTCAAGTCATTTATAAATAAAGTAATGAAATGAAGCCCAGTACAGATCTAGAGGGTATATCTTGAATGCCAAGCCAATGCAAGTACCAGTTACCATTTATCCCCACACTCTATCTCCAAGCTCATTTCCAAACAATTAAAAATTCTACCTCTAATGCATAGGTTCTACATTTTTTGAAAGTGTTTTGTGCAGCCACCTTTTTGAATTTTGTTCAGAAGCCCAAATAAATCAACAACTCTGTCACTCACAGTGATTTCTTCAAAACTTTCAACTAATAGACATGACCTACTTTGCAGAAGACATAAGGATTCTCTCTCTGATAAGTTTATTAAGTGGTCAGTCACTCAATCTTTAATGACATGACAATTTATAATGATTGGCAGACATATCAACACAGATTACCCAGAAAGGAATCTCAGCAATCAGGATTAATTTACCAGTTTTAAGGATTTGTCGTAACAACAAAATGCTGGAAACACGGGTTCGGTGAATGTGGTTTGAATTGTGTGTAAGTGTCTCAGTGAGTCAGTGACCTGGTGAAATGACAACTTCCCAACCTCATAGTCCAATTGGACTTGGATCCTGCTTGTAGATGGGATCAATAGGAGATCAGTGCATTCATCATCATGCCAGATGGTGACTGAATCACTGGTAAGATATAAACACCAAGAATTACTGCTTTCCCCAAACCAAGAGTACTGTCCGACCCTATCAATACTCCCATACACAATCCCCATTCCCCATTCCTTCCCATCACTTTCTCTTTCCCAGGAATGGGATCCTGAGGAGAAGCTCTGGGAGGAAAGAATTTGATAATAATCTTCAAATCTTTCTGGGTGAGATGGATACAGCTGTTGCTGTTCAGCAAGGGTTACTGATCTCCGATCATCAGACAGAACCAAATAGCAGTTTGCTGTCTTTGGATCCAGGCTCAATGAACTTTTTCCTAGAGAGAAGAGAAGAGATTGGTCAGACAGAGTTATTCCACCCAGATCAATGAGTGACAGCTGTAGCGTGGGATTTCAATATCTTGTAGACACTGGGAGCCCCATATTACCTCTTAGACTGGAATCTTCCCATTTAAATAAATGGCCTTCAGTCAGAATTCCTGTTAAAGAGTAATGTGTGGTCCCAGTCTGTACATCAGTGTGAACATTGTGAACACCTCCTGTACACCGTGGGTATGAGAGGACACAGAGCCTGTAGGCAGTGGCTGTTATATGAAATGGATGCTGTACACAGTGTGAAGGGTAAGTAGAGTCAACAGACAATGCATGTTATAAAACTTGCTAGGGTATTATGCATGGAACAACATACTGTTGGAGCCCTCAGAGACGGTGAGAACAATGAAAATGCTGAGACTGAGAGGTGGATATACAGGTGGACAGAGTGCAAATCCCAGGTGAAATGGTGAGTTCCAGCAGAAGTTGCACTGTGTATTAGGAAGAATTGATGGAGGAAATGGCATAGTGAATTCTGTTGCTACTGAGTTTGGAGAATGAAGGTGAATCTCAGGCCCCTGATTCACATATACAGGGAGCTGATATTAAGTTCAAGGATATTCCCAGCTGTCTGAACACAACTAGCCTGATCTGCTCTCATTCCTTGGGTTGGAGAAAAGCTGCACATTCTTACCGTTGATACCCAAAATGTCTGTGTGGTACTTTTCCCATCCATTCAATTCCTTCTGGAGGTGTTGAGATATATTGGACATATTCAGGGTAATCATTGGAACATCTGGCTATGTGACTTTCTGAGTCGTAGTCACTCTGGAATTGAAGAGGAGAGAATGGTTTGATAAGTGGGACATTTCAGATCAGAAGCCCAAAGGGAACAAGTGATCAGTGCAATGACCTGCACCCCCGCCACCCTTCTAGTGCTTGTACTGACACCCCACAGAAACACATCCAGAAAATGTCTCAATCCTGGGATTTACACTCTCCCTGGGTTCACACTGGGCTTTACAGTCCCAGTGGGATCCTGGTTTGCTATCACTTCAGATCAGTTTGTGATTTACAAATCTACCTGTGTTCAGACTCATTGCACTTCCCCGGAGCTTCATTTTTCCATTATACAGAATGATTATCTCAAGGGTCTCCAATGTGCACTCACAAACCCTAGCTCTTCGCTGATCATAGGCTGGAGGACCTGACAGGCCAAGTTCAGCACCAAAGATTAGCTCCTTTTAGCACTCCTTGTGGGCCAGGAGGAACAAGAGACTCCTAGGCCTCACAAGGAAGCCTTCATCCACCCTGAGTCTTTAACATTCAGCCTTCATTTCCCTACCACAACCTCTTCATAGGGCCTCTGGAGTTTCTGTTTCTCTCTCTGAGTGACAGAGACACACCTATGGGTTCCCCACTATCCCCTGTCACTTGTTTCACTCTCATCCACTGGCCAAGTGACACTCACCAGCTGAGGAACAGGAATCTGATGAAGATGATTTAAATGTGGCTTAGGCATACCAATCAACAGGGCTTCTATGTCCCAGCCTTACTGCAATCTTCTCACACCCTCAGATTGTGATCTGGGTGAGGGATGGACTCAGTGACTGGCAGATAGAGTTTATCGCAAGGACTGAAAAATAATGGCTTTAATTATCTGAATATCTAACTGAAGGAAATGTCAGCTCCTTCAATCCTGGATGTGCAAAAAATCCAAGACAATGGAGGGTGAAGAAAGGTGGTGGTGAGGTCAAGCTGGGTGTTGTCAATTTACGTACATAATGTCCCATTTCCCACCCATATTGGCTGTCTGAGCCAATAACCCATTGAATTACAGTGAAATATCACTCAGTGTTCCTATAGTGTGAAAGTACTGTATCTGGGAAGGGTTCCAAGTTGTGATTCTACTTTCCCTCTGCTCCCAGATACGTGGGAAGGCTCCCTATCAGCAGTAGCTACTGTATGACTGAGAGGAACTTACCTGGAAAGAAGCTGCCTCGAGTTCTGTGAATAAAGAAAGGAGATAAATTCAATTAACAAACAAACCAACACACAATGAAACCAAACAGTGAATTTGGAATTGAGGGAAAGTGTTCAGCTTGAAACAGGAGGTGGGACTAGTCACAGCAATGAACAATCCCACATTTCACTGCACTCCGACATGGGATAGTACCAAAAATCTGAGGGCAGAACTCAGGGAGAATCAACAATCTGAGGGCAGGACTCAAGGAGCATCAATAATCTTTAAAACAATTTACCGTCTTATCAGACTCACAGAAACCCAGCCTGTTTATATTAAAGATGTACCTGAATAAAGGAGAGAGGGTCTCTCTGTAACAGACTCTGGGTTTCTCCATCCATTAATGCAATCTGTTCGATCCTCTTGTTTAATGCCTCAGAACAGCTTCTAATCTGAGAGACAGCTTGGTCTCCCTCCTCATCGATCACTTTCAGGGTGGATTCTTCATTTTCCAGCTTTCTACTCCATTCAGAGAAGCTCCTTGTTGCCTTTCCTTTCATCGCATTGATTTGTGTCTGAAACCCAAACTAACTCTCATTTCAAACAGCCCTTTCTCACAGCATACGGCACATTCCAGGGACAGGACACTTTGTTTCAATCACTGCCCCATCACCATTACAGATAGACAAGCAGTGGGGTGTGTCCATTGGAAGGGGAAATAGGCTTACCTTGAGTCTAAAACAAAGTGCACTGTAGTTAGACTGGGGACGGAACTGGCACCATAGTCTATTCATATCTGGAGCGATAGCTGCAGTTTTGGTGCCCACACCTGGTGAAGAAGATTGAGATTCTGGGGTGGATGGTGACTAGAAAGAAACAGAGTCTGACAAATTTTGGCTCGGGATCAGTTCCAAGCGATTGAGAGAATGTCATACTTAGAATGAGATGAAGGAGATGTTTAAAATGATGGCAGGATTATTGGACTCGTTCTTTGGGTAAGGTATTTGCGAAGAACCAAGATGGTCAGACTAAAAGGCTTGTGGATAAAATCCATAGACACAGAGTTAGATTAGACATCAGGCCTTCGATTTCTGGAACAGAAAACAGAGAAACCCCTTCTAAATAAAGTCCCACTTTTCCCTACCTTTATTTCAGCTTCTGATATCTCTAAGTCTTGCTGTTTGATGGAACAATTCTGCTGGACTCCCTGAAGCTTCTTGATTTCTTTCTCCAATTCTTCCTGGAAAGACACATGAAAAATCATTCCAAAATCAGAAATTGCTGGAAAATCTCAGTAGGTCTGGCAGCATATGTGGAGAGAAATCAGAGTTAACGATTAGGGTCCAGTGACCTGACTTTGGAAGTATTTTTTTTGGAAAGGAGTCAGAAGCGGGCCCTGTAGGGTTGGGAGACTATGAGCTTGGAGACAGTGAAGGGGAGACCACCAAATAAGATTAATGATAACTGTTGACACCCTTGTCAGCAGGCTAAATTACAAAGTCAGGATTGGATTTGAGAGCGTGGAGTGCAGTCAGTTTAGAGAGAGATAGATTGGAATGGGGTAGGGGGGGCAGAGAAATTGAGATGATCAATATCACATCGACAGTTCTCAATGAACAGGTCAAGTGCAGGAAAAAGACCAGAGGGAGGGGGTCCAGGTGAAGGAAGAGTGTTGGAGCTGGGTGAAGGGGTCTGTTGGACAGGGAGAGGTCGGTGTCGAAAGAAAAGGTCATGGAGTCTAAGGCCCAAAATTCGTTAAGGTGGCAATGCAGAGGGATAAAACTAAGAACTTTGCTGAGTACAATCCATTCCGCATCAGAAAGCAGAAGGTCAGAAGGGATAGTGAATAAACAACAAGAGAAAGGGTTGGGAGAGGGAATGGAGTCAGAGGGAAGGGGAGGATAGGAAGGTTCCAGATGGGTGTGGATATCTCTGTGTTGCTGCATTTTGTGTTTCTTAATGCCTGAAAGAAAAAAATGTTTTGCGTTAGCATGTCGAATAAGCCAGAGGATGAAATGGAACTGGGTGTTACAGCAGCTCTGACCCGGCATGAGGTGGTGCTGATGGAGAGGTAGGTCGAGAGTGTGCATATAGAAAAACATGGCACTGATTGTGGATCTCAGGATGAGGTGAGGACAGCTATTTGTGGAACACTGCACATCATGGTGATATCTGGGTGGATTCAAAACATGAAGGATGAAACTTAAGTTGGAATCCACATGGGTGAGTCTGAGCCAGAGTCACTGAGGAATGTAATGTAGCTGTGGAAATGAGTTTTGGCAAATACCTTTAGGCTGTTATTCCAAAAGATTCAAATTGTGGTTTGCCAGAAAATGAACCAGCCACAGAAATACAGTGGCTTCAAGAGAAGGTCAGAGACTATAAAAACTCACCCATGACTCTCCAGAGCCTGTCCACCATCTATAAGGCACAAGTCAGGAGTGTGATGGAATACTCACAATTTCCCTGGATGGGTGCAGCTCCAACAACACTCAAGAAGCTTGCCACCATCCAGGACAAAGTAGCCCGCTTAAATGGCACCACATCCACAAACATCCACTCCCTCCACCATTAATGGTCACTAGCAGCAGTGTGTACTATCTACAAGATGCACTGCAGAAAATCACCAAAGATCCTTAGTCAACACCTTCCAAACCCACGTATTCAATATTATATTGTTCCAAAATATTTTAGGAACTATACTGCCATGTGTACATTTGTGCACAGAGTACAACATTACACAATACTGCACTACATCACACTGGATGATTCCACAGCATATGGTGCAATCTTAAAAGTTACCCTCAAAGTCTTTGTTGCAGAAAGAGGGATTATTTCAAACTCCTGGGACTTACAAGACACAGCACATGTATTTAATATTTGAAATAGTGTCACTTACCTTAATCACAGCTTGTGCCTGATCCAGGCTCAGTAAAGTGTGGGATTTATGTTTCCCTATAATTGTACAGGAAACACACACGCACTCTGCATCTCCTTTACAATAGTACGGTAGCAGTTTCAGATGATCAGGGCAGTGTCTCTCTGTAACTTTAGCCACAGGCTCAATGAGTGTATGATCTTTGTAGGTCTCTTTCAGTAAATGTGGTTTTAAATGTTGAGAGCAAAAAGATGTTTCACATTTCAGGGATAGTAGGAACTGCAGATGCTGGAGAATCTGAGATAACAAAGTGTAGAGCTGGATGAACAC